ATGTGACTTGGTCTTTCTTTCTTTCTTTTCTTCCTCCTCATTCATTCCCTTCTTCCTTTACTTCCTTTCTTCCTTCCTCCCCTCTGCCTTCCTGAAAAATTATGTAGCATTTACTGTTCAGAAGGTGCAGTAGTAGGAGCGGGGGTAAGATTGAGAAGAACCAGACATGGACCTTTCTCTGAAGGGTCTAACATTCCTGAAGGAGAGAGAAAACATGTGCATAGATGCTCCCCACACTGTCCTGTTCTCAGAACCTAGCTGCCTTCGCACAGTCAATTCTTTCTGCCTAAAATGCCCTTTCTTTCTTATTTTCTGGAGATTTTCCATCTATCCTCGGAGCCTCAACTTAAGGTCACCTCCTTTGTCAAGCCTTCCCTGATGCCCTTCCCCCATTCCTGCCCCAAGCCTATGTGACACACTGGGCACACTTTTAATATAAGGCTTGTTGTATTATATTGTGATTGCTAGTTTCTTTGCCTACCTGTTTTATGAGATTGGGAATGAAGAAGGAACTATGTTTTATTCACCTGTGTAGCCATAGTACATAGCAGGAGACCTGTAGCATAATAGGCACTTAGCAAATACACATGTCGTGAGTAACTGGATGAATGGATACATGCGAAAGAAGCGCAAAGCATCCTGTGTAGAAGGACAAATGGAGTGCAGTGAGATCTAGGGATGGGAATTATTACTCAGGGAAATGCGGTATCAGGGCAGGTTCCTTGGATGGGCAACACGTCAGAGCTATGCCTTCCGTCATAGATCCACTATAGTTCTGGGAGCTGATGAAGTGTGGGCCAGGGAATCTGCAGAGAAAACCATGTGAGCAATACCATAGAGGTGGGAAAGTACAAAGTTCAAAGGGAGAGTAATGAGCTCCTTAGATTATCTACAGCAGAGGTTACTTGAAGTTCATGCATAGGAAGGTTAGATTGGATTGAGGACATTGATACCTGGATTGTCGCTGGAATTCTTTAGTGATGACTTCTATCCACGATGCAAAGAAGAATTCAGGACGGGAGGGGTAAATGAAGCTGTGGCAGAGAGCTAGGGTGTTCCTGAAGGCTCTACTTTTAAGAATAAATACCTGCTTTGATTTTGGCAGTAGTTTAATATCTAGACTAAGTTTTCCCAAGACAATAACTGTTTTCAAAAGGAAATGTGGAAGAGGGACAACCAGTATCTGCCTTTCCTTCACCCTCTCCTCCCACTCTGGCCCTTATTCTCTGGTTATTCTCGCAGCCACCTCCAGAACTACCTGCAAGGCCCCGGGAACTGACCACAGAAGCACTCCAGGGATGGAGCAGTTCCTATGCCCTGGGACCGAGGGCTGCGCCTCGCCTTTCTGCCTCTGGCTGCTCAACAGGTGCCAGAGACAGCCAATTCCTGAGAGTAAACTTCAGGGCCATGCTGTCTTGACCTTTTTCTTTGAGTGTCTGGTGACTGGCCTTTACCCCAAGCCTTATGATTTATGACTCTCCCTGATCTCACATACCTACCTGAATCCAGAACATTCTCAGTCCTCTCCCCTTACCCAATTCTCTCCTTCTCTTGCCTTCCTTGTCCCAGATTGTTAAGGGATCATTTTTTGTTGTTGGATGAGGGAGCCAAAAGTCTAAGGAAAGGAGACTTTGATTCTGTTTAATCTGGCTATCTTTTTGCAATGCTTTGCCATCCTAGGAAAAACAGCTGGGTTTAGTATTGGTCCTGGCACTTCAATCTCTGACCTTTAGTCTCTTCACGAATAAACTCAGGGTTGATGTTTGAGATTCTAGCTGTCTTTGATTGTGCTGAAAAGTCTACTTGAAGACATGGGGCAATTTTGAGGCTCAGTGTACAAGAATTTGCATGATGCTCTGAGTTTCTAAAGTGAATGTGATAATGCAATTGTGGGATTAGCAGAATTCTCATGTATTTGTATTTCTAAGTATCTATATTATGTCTGCATGGTTAAGGTTGGAGAAGGCAAGACATATCCCCTCACTGTTTCTAAATGAACGACACATGTTCAGAGCAATCCTTTTTAACATGTCATAAAATTATGAGAAAGAATAATGCTACAAATATCTTTAAGCACTTCATGCTCACACACACAGCTACACTCTTCAAAGCAGTATTAGAAATCATCAGGCATTAAAAATGTTTTGATTTTAAAACACTTAATGAGGATTCCCAGATAAATTAAAACATCTCCATCTGCTGTCTTTCCTGCTAGGTGATATTTTACCATTGCACAATCATCTCCAAATCTAATTCCACCAGGAAGACTTCTAATCGCAGCTTAATTTTAGAGCAATATTCTACTTGGCAATCAATAAGGCACTGTCATCAAACTTTGATTTAATAGGAAACGTGGATAACATTCCCTACATTCTGCAGAGAGAGATAGTTTCAGGAAAGGAAGAGAAAAACGTCTTTGTCTCCCACTTTCCCCTGCTGCCTACATTCTTACGCACAAAAGCCTACAAATCAATGCCCCCATGTTGTGCGAATGTAAATCTCATCAATTTTACATCATTAAGACCATGAAAAAGCTTCTACTCTTTGAGCAATTTTCCTCTGCTAGCTAAATATGTCCTCTTAATAAAACAAAAATTAATGGATCCTAATTATTTTGCTTGCAAATATGTCCTTCTTCGCCAGCTTATTTGTGTTAAAAACTATTAGACTTAAACATTCATTTTATTGCCACTGGAGCGACTAGGGTAACTGGGCAGTCATACTACCATTAAAGCATGATGTCCAGGGGGCAGTGGTAGCCCGGGCAAGCATGAAGCCAAAGAGAGAGTTCTAAAGGTAGTTAGAGAGGTGAGTGAATGGTCAGACCCTGGAAGTTTAAGGCGAGGCAGAAAATTCTACTGCAGCCAGTGATTTATAAGGTCAAATGCCTGGAAGGATTGCAGCTGGCCAAGAGATGGACATTTTGGAAGATCAAAATGTCTAGAACTAAGGCAGTGACTATCATGAAAGCCAGAGGCCCACTGTGCCAGGAGGCTGGTTTTGTAGTAGGAGGTCCTAATGGCTTAAAGGGATTTCGGAAGAAGGAATAAGAGCTTAGAGAACATCTACTCCAGTGGTTCCCAGTGTTTTCGTAACTAACTTCTGTGTTACGTTTCTCTCTTCCTCCATGAACTCAGTAATGGGGAAGATTCTGTCTACCAAAAAAACTGCATTTGTAATCATCCATTTTCCTATTTGGACTATTTAAACCGTAACTAATTGCCAATAAGAGAATATACTCCAATATGAGCTAAGGAATATTAACAACACTAGCTGATATAATTCAAAATACATGGCCAGTAATTTTAGCACTTTAGGAGGTCAAGGTGGTGGATCGCTTGAGCCCAGGAGTCTGAGACCAGCCTGGGTAACATGGCAAAACCCCATCTCTACAAAAAAATTAGCCAGGTGTGGTGACATATGCCTATAGTCACAGCTACCCAGGAGGCTGAGGCCAGAGGATCACTTGAGCTTGGGACGTAAAGGTTGCAGTGAGCCAAGATTGCACCATTGCACTCCAGCTTGGGTGACAGAATGAGACCCTATCTTATAAAACAAAAATTCCAAATAAACTTGGCATTTTCATTTGCATGCACATAGAAATGTATAGACTTATTAGGAATAATTACAGATTTCTGTTTAGTTTTTTGAGATTTCAAAAATTGCATGGGGCCTCTTTTTATTACCTTTAATGAACCCTATGGACCCAGGGCTTTGAGTTATGAGCCATTGATCTGGTTTATACCTCCCATTTACTGAAGGGTTAAACTTGAGGTACAGAGGGGTACAGTGGGTGACTTGTGTTTACACAGAAGCTAGAATTCAAGCCTCATGATGCCCACCCAGTATAAGGACTTTAAATATACCATAAGCATCCAGATGCATATATAAGCCTTTACAGAGTACTGTTGAATGAGGATTGTTTTAAGTATGTTTAATATAGGAAAATAACCATAAAGATCACCATTACCCAATAGGATGGTGAGCATTATTTGTTGAAGCTAAGATAATAAAGGTCAATTATAAAAGATTTTCAAATTACTAATTATCAATTTCAGTTTACTTTAGCTCAGCAACTATGGGCCAGGCACAGTGCAAGGTGCTAGGATGGCAGGGATAAGGAAGACAGAACTGGGTAAGAAAGACAGACAAGGAATTATGCAAATATATCAGAGAAGGAAGACCTGTGATGGTAAGAAAATCCAGGGGCAAACATTGGAGGAATTTATCAGTTCAGTGTTACTAGAAAGTAAAGTTCTACAGAAGCACAAAAGAGGGTGGAATTATTTCTGTCAGGAGAGAGAAGGCAAGCCTCGTTCAGAGGAAGTTTGACACAGGTGGTTCTATTTCATGTGTCCATTGAAAGAGAAATAGGATTTGGGCAAGTGAATAAAATGAGTTGATATTGCAGACAAAGGGACCTACCAATGAAAAGCCTGAGAGATATGCATAGCTCGACCTCTATCCTCAATGGTGACTTTGGACTAAACAGAAAAGAGCATTTATTCCTCAACACACTCTATCACCATCTGCTGGATGGTGTTGTCACAGGCACATCCATAGTTCTATGAATGTTAATGATACTCCCTGGAGTTGTACAGTATACATCCTCCACCACAGCGCACACAGTCCCTGATTATTCAAGTATGTTAAATGTCAATCCAAAAGTTGGACTGGGATGTGCCATGAGAAAAGAGCCAACAGAAGCCTAGCCACTGGACTAAACTGGCTAGCTCTAGCAAGCTGAATAAAGCACCGATGCAGATGCTTATTCAGCATATGAACAATCCTGTGTTTTTCTCTGGTCACAGCATTAAGACCATAGAGGGAAGCCTCCATTTCTCAAGGGCAGGCATAGCTCTTTTTCTTTCCATCTGGACTAAACAGCTTTTCCAAAGCCCTTTGGGCCTGTTCACACATAGCTGAAACACATTTCTTACTGATCAACAGCTCGAAGGGAAAGTCCCCTGAAATATGTTCTTCTTTTTTTTCTCTGATAGGCCCTTCAGCATCATCATGCTGTTCATGAAATATCCTACATTGCGAAGGACATTACAGATCACCGGGCCTTTGGATATGTTTGTGGGAAGGAAGGGAATCATAGATTTGTGGCCATAAAAACAGCCCAGGCGGTGAGTATCCCTGTCCAAGAAAGGAGCCTTTCCTTGGAACTCTAAGGGGACAGTCCAGTGACTCCATTGGTCTTTAAGAGGCCACTCTGAGATATGACCAAGCAATGTATTTCCACTGAAGTTGATGCTCACATTCCCATCTAGAAAAGATAAACAGGCTTGGAGCAAGGAAACATACTCATACCCATCTAGTTTTTTTCTTTTTTTTCTAATGGGTATTTCCTAATGACTAATTATTTTCCTTTCTGATTAAACTGGATGGAGGCACCGTATACAAATATGTTTCCTTGTGCTCATAGCCTCATTTAAAAAGAAAATAGGAGAAAACAAATAGCTGTTTTGCATAAGGCCTGCCCTAATTTTATTGTATTCTAAACCACTAATAAATAAAAGCAATGCCTTTTATGCTTATGATTGTTATGAATTTGCAAATATAATTAGTTGAAGAAATGAACTTTAGCCTAGATGCAATTTGCTAAACCAATATAAACAAGGTAGAATTAATTAAGAATGGAATGCTTTCAGATTAATAGAAAAAGGAAGGGCTGCAAGTTGTCACTACAAAAACAAAAATTGGTTGCTGCCTCTCAGTACCATTCCCTTATGATGTGCCTTACCACCTTTCACTCCAGGCTGAACCTGTTATTCTGGACTTGAGAGATCTCTTTCAACTCATTTACGAATTGAAGCAAAGAGAAGAATTAGAAAAAAAGGCACAAAAGGATAAGCAGTGTGAACAAGCTGTGTACCAGGTATACCTGTGAATTTATCCTTGTGCTGGAGAAGATCGGGGCTTCAAATAAACACATGTGAAAACTGACAGTCACGCCTTCTCTTCCTGCTGCCAAGTAGGAGTAAACAAAGATGAAAGATTCCTGTGTAAATTACAGGACCCAAAGCAAACCATTAGAAATTATCCCTTATTCTCTTAAACTCTAGGCATGTTGGATGAAGTGAAATCTTGAATCCAGAGAAAGATTTCAGGGGTAGAGGACAAAGAAACACAATTGCTTTTGCTTCTGTTAACAGCTGAGGTGGAGGTGGGGTGGCTCTGAGGGTTTTGACTTAGCTGTATATTTTTCTACCTTGATGAGCCACCAGCCTCTTCTGCCCAGAGCTGGTTTCTTTACTGTCCTGTGATTTCTGAATGCAATCTCACATCTGTTCCTTTATGTCCTCTGCTTTTCACCTTCCCTCTCCTTGCTCTGCAATAGACAATATTGGAAGAGGATGTTGAAGATCCTGTGTACCAGGTAATTTCTGAAACTAGTTGGGGTTTTAGATTCTAGAATGGCTAGACCTGTGCCAGAGCTGTTTTGTCAGAAACCTGAAGAATCCACTGACTGCAAAACCTGGAGAGAGACCAAGATTATTTCTGAGGGTGAGGGCTGCCAACCCCTCCAGGAGCGAATTTCCATAAAAACTAACAGAAGTTTGGCCGGCATCGGTATCTTGGGATTTGAAGATCCGCTTCTCCCTTCTTGCCCTGCCTCAGCCCGCTTCACAGCCTGTAAAAGTTTGATCCCAGAACTGAATGTTTTCAAGAGTCTCTTGAATATTCTGAGTTCATTAGAGAGAATGTGAATAATGAGGTGGCTTCTCTAAGAACCAGAGGTGGGGACTGACATTATGGTAATGTTTGGGCACAGACCTGAAGGATGGTTTCTAAGCGCTAGAAAGGCTATGAGGAGGGCTCTCTGACCCCCGATGGGGCAAGCTGACCCTCTGATTACCTGGCTCATGCCATAGAAGCTGTTGGGAGGAAGGAAAGAGTGACCCTAGAGACACTTCTACCCATAGCTTTCTCTCTGGACTCTTTTCAAGATCTGCAGCTCAGTGCTGAGTAGAGAGACGATCTCTCTTAGGGTCAAGCATGTGCTCTGTTCAAACAGAAATGCAGAAAAAAAGGGAAAAGACAGCCTCTCCCTCCCCTGTGCTTATTTTCAAGGAGAAAAAGAAGCCAAAAAAAGTGACTTTTTGAACAAAGGAAAATCTTGAACTTACATTTCTAACTGGGATGCATAGGTGTCATTTGTGTGTGTGTATGTCACAGATGCATATTATATAAATGCATATTTTCACACAAAAAGCTGATACTGCTACAATGAAAGCAAAATACTATAGATAACTTGTAGAAGAAAACGTGTCTAGTATATATGGCAAACAAAAGCCAAAGATGTACATAATGACATGCTCTTGATTTAGAATGCCGAGGGGCGACGATTTGTGTAGAATATGAGCTTCAAGCTCTTGGCTCACTGGCTTGCACAGAACGAAGAATAATAGCCTTTTTGAAATGTGTCAGTCCTGTAGAGTATAAAACATGCACGTGGAAAAATCGATTTAACGTTCTTAAAAGTGATAATGTAAAATAAGGTGATATTTGTGGAATAAAGGAGTTTGGGGCTTCTGAGCTTTGCAAAGTTTGTTTAGGATTTTGAGCCTTAGGGGAAAAGGGATGACCCTCAACTATAACCCATACTTACAAAGTTTGGGATCCCAGGCATTCCAATGAGATAGGATTCTCACTCAGCAATACCAACATATTCAAATATTACTGAGACAAAATGCCATTGAATGAAGAGGCTATATCTTCAGAAAGATCTGCAAAGGCTTGATATAGTCACTGCTGAAACACCAGCAGGCCTTTGCAGTTTTCCTTATGAAAGGCAGGAACGTACAAAGTACATTGTATTTCAATAATTCACTGTGTCTTTAAGGTGTTTTCTCTTGTGCCTGCTTCTTTAATGCTCACTGTGATTAGTATCTTGATTTCCAAATGCTTTTTTTTTTTCTTTCTTCTTTTTCACCTCTGACCTTTCCTTTCTTGCTGCTCCTGTAATAGTACATTGTGTTTGAGGCTGGACACGAGCCAATCCGTGATCCCGAAACGGAAGAAAACATTTATCAGGTATAAAATTGCTTGCCTTTCTTACCATTACACTACTACTGGTAAATGCATGAGTGCACTGATAGTCTGAAGAACCAAGGGTTCTGTTGGTCATTCCTGGCTTGTTAAAATGCCTTTGAGTGAATTGGCTTCTAGTTTACCGGTAGTTTTCATGCCTGTTGTTGAGGTGTTTAATAGCCAGTTAGGTAGAGTGTTTTACTTTTGAATGGATCTTAACTATTTTAAGTAGAAGCAGAAATTAAATGTTTCATTTTACTAAAGTACTACATTGGAGAGCTGGTGTCCATTATACAATTAGGGTCCTTTATTTCTCAAAAGAATGTACTCATCAAATTTCTTAAAAAGCCAACTCCACTACTGAAAACAAAACACAATTTTAGTTTCAAATGCGATGTGAAAACAACATTGAGAATATTAATAAAAGTACAGCTGAAGGTTGTACCCTTATTTTTAATTGTGCAAAGAAAACTGAACTTTTCTTTTAACTCATTTAATTCTCACGAAGATGTTATAAAGTAGATATTTTAATTCTGTTTTTGTAGAGGGAGACTCAGAGAAGCCGAGTAGCTTCCTCGGGATTGTACAACTATTTAGAGCCAAGATTCAAACCCAGGCATGGGTGTGAAGGCGAAGCTCTAGCTCCTTCTGCCACAATCTTCCACCAGAATGTCTACATAATTGTAGCATAGCAGCATATCAAATAGATATGATGACCTGCAACTTTTCATTCATTAGAATTGTAGTCCCAATTTGAAATAGAAACGTTATAGGAGAAGAAAAGATTTTAATGTATTTAATAAGTGATTTTAATTTTGTTAGTTGAGTGGTCTATTCTGCCTTGGGTGTGTATTACTTGCATAATAAAAGTAAAACATATTTCCAATTTCTATCAAATGCATGGAATTCTAAATGACTAAAATATAATGTTCTACCAACAACTTGATTTCAATCACCCTTGTCGAATAATAATCTAAGTATTTCTCTCCACTGAATCCATCTGGATTCCATTCAAATATGAGGTTGTCCTTTGAGGTTTTGTTCAAAGTCATGGCTTACCAAGTATCTTTAATAGGAAAAGTTGCATTTGTCCTCAGTGTCAGATTTTAAAGTATATACAACCTTACAGTAACTGAATATGAGGAGAAAAAACCATTAACCAGTCATCCTAGGAAGAGAGGGCTCCTTTTAAATAAAAGAGGCTTTGCAATATTAGCAGTTTCTGAATCCAGACTTAGCTATAGTTGGCAGGTCCCTATTGAGCCCTGTGGGACTGCAGTGGAGGTGGGGTGGGGAGAGAGACATCCTCGTGTACTGGAAAGACCTGCTTTAGCTGGTGGAGAGCTGGGTTGTAGTCCAGGCTCTCTTGCCAACTACCTTTGGCTAAGTGGTAGTGGGCAAGGCGCTTACCTTCTCAGATTCAGTTTCCCTCATGATAAAATAGGTGAACAATTTTTCCCTAACTCACAAACTCATGTGTAGGATGGAAAGAAGTGTCATCATGGGTCACAGAATGTGGAGTCTGGCTGTGTGGATTCAGTATCTTAGTACAAGTACCAATTTAGCCATTAATTTGTCGAGTATTTTTCCTTCTCTAGGCTTCAGTTTACTCATCTGTAAAATAAGCAGGTAAAACCCAGGGCTCTCTCAGGCAGAACCCCTTTCTGTTTTTGCAATTAGTGCCTTACCATAGGACTTTGATTTTTCTAGAGAAGCATGTTGGCTTGTTTTACGGTACAGTAAGACTCAGAAATGGTGGAGGTGGGAAAATTTGTGTGTACACATGCGTTGATGGTGGACCAGCTCTGTGAATGGAGTTTACCTGCAATATCTTAGCTCTCACAACAACCCCATGTGGCTTGATTCATTATTCCTACCTTACAGATAAGGAAAGTGAGGCTCACAGAGATAGGTATCTTGCCCAGGGTCCCAGAGCTAGCAAGAGGTAGAACCCCCCATTGTAGGTCCCTCTGACCTCCATAAATAAAGAAATAAATCCTGAGGCTGCTCTCAGCTCAAAATCCCCTGATTCTGAGTTTCACAATTAGATTCTATGTCCCTTTCAAGTCACTATCTAAAAATCACACTTGTTTTAACAGCTCTGACCTCCAGATCTTCCCATCTGTCCATCATTAACAGGAAGCTACCATTTAAGGGAATGAATATTTTATCTCCTTCTATTGGAAAGACCTCTGGTCATTCTCTTCTCCTGCTTTGCCAGTCTGCTGGGGCTCAATTTACGTAATAAGAGATAAGCTCTTGGGCCTGAAGATAAGGCTGGGCTTTTAAGGGGCTGCTATTAGGAACCTCATTCTTTTTTTTTTTTTTTTTTTTTTTTTTTTTTTTGATGACTTGTAAGTGTTCCTTAGCTATTTCTCTTGAATTGCAGTGTTTGTTATACTTCAGCTTGGCCCATCTGGTGGTCTCAGCTTTTATTCACCTCCTTGTTTTCTGGAGTGAGGCAGACAGTCCTGGAGACCTTTAGCTGTTTGGTGACCTTAAGTGGAGAACATGATTTTTGTATCTCAATTTCCTGGGCTATGAAATGGGGATAATATATTCTCTGCTCCTAGAAGTGATGTGAAAACATAAAACAAGGAGGAGAGCAGTTGGTTCATAGTAGGTTCTGTGTAAACGTGAGTTCCCCCTCCTTCCTTGAGTGTTGTCAGTTTCAGTTGCTGTTGAAGTGTCTTATGATCATGTTTTAAGTGAAATAGAACATAACTTGCTCACCACATGTTGTTGGAGAGCCTAGCAGAAATCCTCAAGCTTGCTTCACTTTCCTATTTATAACTCCAACAAAAGGGAGGCAGAGGCTTTTGAGTAAACATAACTTCTTTTTTTTGGAGATTTTTTGAGTAGTTTCGTTTTCCCAACTATATTAATAATAATAATTTTCTTTTGCTTTGCATGCCTCAGAAAGTTATCAGCTGTATTAAAGTTATCATCCTCCCAATACAAAACATTTTTACACATCACTTAATTTTGATCCTTCCATTAATGATGACATAGGAAAAACAGCCACAATGACTATCACTATGAACATAAGAAAATCAAGTTCCCCCAATTTAGATGCTGAATACAAGGTCAGAACCTCTGATTCTGAATCTAGTATTCTTCAGTACATTATCAGGCTTCTGATATAAGCAAGATTTCAGCTTTCCACGTTGGCATTCTCCAAGTTCATTCATTCAAAAACCACTGTTCACCATCCAGTAGTTCAAGTATCATTATTTTAAAATGATGAGTCTCCAGGAAATGTTACGCAACAAAGCCTGGAACTGCCTCTCTACACTATTAATTAACATGTTGCCAAAATAAAAGTGTCTTCTGTGTGTACAGTATGTAATGTGCTGTTTTTAGAGTAATTTAACATCTATTTACTTGTTCATACAAAAAAAACATTATTTATAGAAAAAATGAATGACTAGACACATGGAGACTCACATGCATCCAGCACAGGGATGGGATAGTGACCATGGCATGGCCCCACCCTCAGAAGTTTATGGACAGTCCCCTTAGATGCTCACCATGGGCAGATGGGGCAACTGAAGTTCAGAGAGAAAAGTGACTCTCTGAGTTGTAGTCTGTGGCAGACCCAGGATTTGGAATCATCTTCTGGTTCCTTTTGATCTGAAACTTTTATGTCTCTGTAACTTTGTGTTACTGAAGGCTTTTGTGTGAACAGAATGGAACAGCTAGGCAGAGATGAGAGCCAGGACCATGCACCTTAGCACTCATGGGCTGAATTTTTGGCGATTAGGCATTTCTTTGTTTCACCAATATCTACACCTGTGGATACAAGGATAATAAAATGTCCGACCTGTCCTCAGCAAGCTTATAGCCCCTGGAACAGTTACAGTGTAGTGCAATAACGCTCGTGATGAGATAAAGCACGCTTTATACTCTATTTCAGTAGTCTGACTACTTTTCCATCTCCCCCAATAAGACAAAAAGCTCTGTTAGATTAGGGGCCATATCTGTCATGTCACCATCATTGTCCCAGGCAAAGCATGATGCATGACACATAATACGTACTTAGCAACTTTTGCTTTTTAATAAAAGAATGCACTAGAGGTTGCGGGAGTACAGGGGAAGTCTCCAAACAAGGCCTAGAGAATCAGGCAACGCCTCCAAGAAGGTACCCAGCTAAGATAAATCTTAAAGGACAAACAGGCAGATTGATATCTCACCCACGGGAGAGCCAAGTAGAAAAGCTTTTTCAATTATGCACAGTTTGGGTTTATCCTTTCCACCGCTTCTTCTCCGTTTGCAGGGATAATTGAGAGGCAGCTGCAGTTCAACTGTGCTAAGTGCCCATAGTGAGCAGTGAATTACGGGCAACAGAATGTTCTTCCTTTTGCTCAGTAAAGGGTGAGCTTGTAAAAACAAAAGTGAGGGCTGGCAATTTACTGGCCCTCATTAACGAGGACTCTGTAGGCATTCTTAGAGGATTTCTTTTAGATGGAGCTCAGTTATCAGGAGCGAAGAAATGACATTCTTCGCTGGCTGCTTGCACAGTGAAGCTTGCAAGAACAACTCTGGATGTGTACCACCAACACAGCCATGCTCACTCAGTCCTGTTTTCTGCAAGAGTGTACATGAGCTTCTGGGAATGCCGGATGTCATGTTAAAGAAAGGCCTACTTGAAACAGCTGTCTGAATAGTGTAGCGGTCAAATGGCAAACTCCCTGGGCTCAAACTCTTGGCTCCCCATTCACAGACTGCAGGACCCTCTCCAGGCCTCATTTTTCTCCTCTGCAACATGAGGCCAGCTGAGTTCTTAACTGGCAGACTTGTCTTGAGGATTGCATGAGAATGTAAGACACAAGTGTTTAGAACAGCACCTGGCACATAGGAAGCACCCAGTCCATGTTAGCTCACATTATTAATGATAGATGTCTTGTCTGGCTGCCAGAAAGAGCTGCATTTGAACCTTGTCACTTACCAGCCTTGAAGATTTGGGCAAAGTCTCTAACATCACTGAGCCTCACTTTCTCCTGTTAAGTAGAGATGGTAATTACAATTTCTTAGAGTTATTGCAAAGATTTTAAGTTAAATAAGATGAAAAATGTCAAAGGGACCTAAAGAATAAGCTCAAATTCTTACTTCTTATAGAACAAGGGTATAGTGAGCTACTTCAAACCTAAAAGATACTTTTCCTTCACTATTCCCCACATTCCTCTATAATATGTTTGTCATATATCTCAGCAGACATTCACTTAGCGCCTACTGGGTGTTAGGTACTATGCCCGCTCTTTAAGAGCTCCCAGTATGATGGAAAGAAAGGCATGTTGTCAGACCATTATAAAACCACTGCTGGCTGGGCCTGCAATGAGGGTGTGAGCTAAGCTGTGACAGTTGCTGGGAAAGGAACAGCTAATGAGTGCTTCCAATCTGGAATCTTTCAGTAAAAACCCTTGGTTGACTCATTTGAAAAGTATTCAACATATCCATATTGTTAGTATCATAAGATGTGTTCATATATATTTATATAATGTGTCAGTAGCTAAAGTAATTCTTCAAACACATTACAGTATTATGGTATCTAATAGTGTTGTGTATTTAATATCCATTTTCTCCCTCGATCCTCGGAATAACCTGAGTAGGAGGCAGAGCTGATAGTGGCGAAGCTCGGAGGAGCTCTGTGGCCTGCTCAGGCTGTCACAGTTAGCTCACAACAGTGAGACCAGATGGACGCGTAAGGGAAGGACGGAAGATACAGATTAATGTTAAAAGCCCTCAAGATCTTCTGCATACTAGGCCCACGCTTTCCATACCACTCATAGGCCCCTTTCTTCAATGAAAACCTTCCATATTTATCAGATGGCTTGTATATGATCCCAATAGACGCTGTGCTTTGTGCTAGGATTTTGATATTTGCTATATTTAAAATAGCCTGGATCTCAGACTCAGCCTTGAACAGTTTAAGCTCAGCGACACACTGTTTCTAATCACTTCGGGAACAGCATAGCACCTCCCTGGGCCTCATTTTTGCCTAAGGAAATGAGGATTTTGTTTTCACCACGTGACTTCTGAAGTCTATGCAGGTTTTTAGTCTTTGATGCTGCGAGGAGCCCAATGGCAGAGATGACCTGTAATATAAACCTTTGTTAAATGATGCCCACTCCCTCTCCCCATCTGATGTCCCTAAGGGAGGAAGCCTGGCCTGATACTTTCACAGTCAGAGCAGGTTCCCATAGGCTTGTCTCAGGGGTTATTCTCAGGTACCCTTAGCTAGCTTGCAGGTGAAGTCTGGTTGCTTTGTTCTTTGAAATTGCAGTACCAGAGTGTTTTGACTGTGCCGAATTTAATTTTTTCATAGGTTCCCACCAGCCAAAAGAAGGAAGGTGTTTATGATGTGCCAAAAAGCCAACCTGTAAGTGTAAGTACATCTCCTCTCTACTGCCACGTTTCTGCAACCTGGATTCACAGTAGGCTTTGTCTGCAGTCTGTGGAAGGAAACTCTTTTCCTGGGATGAGTGTCATGGCCCACATGTTTCTGCTGTGATCTGCATGCTGGGGACTCTTCAGTGGGCTAGAGGAAGGAGCCATGAGGCAGAAATGGTAGCACTGAGGAAAGGGTGCCAGTCTGGATGAAGGTCTGGTCCTGTGAGTGGGAGTGAGTTGAATCATGCAAAGAACTCTATCCAAGGGCTTCAAGGTCACAGGTGTTCTAGGGCAAAAGTCTCCGGCCGTGGTTTTATTATACGTGGTCAAGGGGAGGATAGTGTTTTTGTTGTGGAAAGAGAGATGCCCATCTAATTTGAAAGTGATTGAGAAGTTTCTAAGGGACAATGGGAGAAGGGCTGGCCAGGGCTTTTGGGGTATACAGAAGTTCAGCCAATGGGTGAAAATTTTGGAAAAGGTCATGTGCAGGGGGCTTGTGGAGAACCCAAGAAGCATACCACATTAAGGACACCAAGGTCCAGTGTATCTGGACCCCATGTGCTGGGGGGACTCCTGGGAATCTGGAACAGAACCAGAAATTCCCAGCTCTGTGATACTGCTCCAAACCACTGAAGTGCCAGAACTCATATTTAGGACCTCCAACTGGCACACAGAAGGCAACTTCTATACATGATTCAGGCAGTTCTATGGAGCCAGTGAAGGCTCTTGGGCAGGGGGCATATGTAACCTTCCCACAGACAAGGACCTAGTGTGTTCAGTCACTATTGACCTCATTCATCTCAACAATGTGTGGACAGAGAAGGTGCTTTGAAGTCAGGTAGACCCTCAACAATTTCAGCGCTGTCCCTGACAGAGCTCTTGTGAGGCTAAAATGGTTCTACCTGGAACACTGTTAATCTGTTCTGGACCCCACACTGTGAGAGACATAAAGACAACCTTGCATGTTTCACGATGAGATTAACAAGGGGATGTGAAACTCTATCCCATGAGGAGCAGTTGAAGAATACAGAAATGTTTGGCGTGGATAAAAGAATCCATAGATATGAGATGGGACTCCAAAGGTCACTGTATGGAAAAGGCATTACATGGTTCTGTGTCAGCCAAATCCTGAAACTGAGACCAGCGGGTGGCACTATAATAAAGTCAATTCCAAGGCTGGGCGTGGTGGCCCACGCCTGTAATCCCGGCCCTTTGGGAGGTCGAGGCAGGTGGATCACAAGGTCAGGAGCTCAAGACCAGCCTGACCAACATGGTGAAACCCTGTCTTTACTAAAACCACAAAAGTTAACTGGGCCTGGTGACTCATGCCTGTAATCCCAGCTACTCAGGAGGCTGAGGCAGGAGAATCATTTGAACCCAGGAGGGAAAGGTTGCAGTGAGCCGAGATCACACCACTGCACTCGGGGCAACAGAGCGAGACTCTGTCTCAAAAAAAAAAAAAAGAAACAGAAAAAAACAAGTCAATTCCAACTCAAAGTGAGGCTGACCTTCCCACAGTCAGAGCTGCTCAGGGGTAGACCAGCACCTCGGAGTGAGCTCACCATCCCTGGAGCTATGCAAGCAGAGCCTTGCAGACCACTTATCAGAAAGATCACCAGAGTGATTCACACATTGCATAGGGAGATGGACAGGAGAGCTCTGGTTGTCCCTTCCAAACCTGAGATTCTGTATTCTCCAATTTGGGAGTCTTTCTGATCCATTCTCATCCTTGCCTGCCCGTTTCTGCCTTTTCTTTTAGGGAAACTTCTTTCTGATCAGTGTCCATTTCTCTCACCCACTCCTCCAGGATCTTGAAACCACCATCCCCCACCTAAATATGGCTTCTGAAACCTATGTGTGTTTGTTTTAATGAAAAAGCATATCCAGATGCAGGCCCCTTTGCAAAAACCCAAGTCTAGGGACCCTATTCTGTGTTGTGCTACTCTGAGAAACAGCGGTTTTTCTCCTGAGGCCTCTGTACCTCATCAGGCCTCCTTGTTACTGAGACATTGGACTGCTCTTCGTGTTTCAATTTGGTGCAGCTCCCATGACACCATTCTCCACGATTCAATTTGTGCCTGAATTGCCACATTTGCCCCTAACAGGTTTAGATACATAAAGAAACATGCTCCATTTGCTGCCTTGGCTTTTCTGAATTTATTAACATTTCTGGCCACACCATCTCCATGCTTAATAGCTCCAGGAAAAAAAAAAAAAAAATCCAAGCTTCTTTGCCTGAGATACACAGGCAGACTGCCTGAAGGTCCCCTCTCCAGCCTGTGTATCTAATCTACCTCCTCCTGGTCCAGTCTTACTGAAATCATCTGGTTTGTTTTTTTTTTACCCCTCCCCACTCTGCAGCCTTCCCCCAGCATTCCAACTTTACTTCAAGCTTTGTGTTCTTAAGGGGACTTTCTGGACATTTGCTCTGAACAGCAACAGAAAATCACCCCTGCTGTTGTGATATCATTCCTCTGTTAATAGTACTTCTTCCCTATTACTTCCCTGAATGTCCTGGCGTCCTTGTAATACCGGATGCAAGCCCAGGGCCTGGTGTTCGGGAGCCAGGTGCAACACAGGTGCTTTAGGAATATTTAATACATACAGGAATGCCTCTATCTGTAAAGGAATTTATGAAAATACCTGGTAGAATTAAGAAAGTACCTGTATTTCTGACTCCAAAATAACGATTAAGGAAATGCACTTGAAATTCTGCTTGCAAAATATCTGGGCTGCCTGAGTGGCATGCTGTGGCTCCCAACCCACTGTTCTCTCAGAGTCCTAGAACTGACTGATGGTAATAATGACTTTTCAATTAGCTATTTTCAACATTTTCAAAAGTCTAAGAGAGGCTGGAAGTAAAATGCTCAGGCTATTGTATAGAGACAGGTGTCTGCAGTTGGAATCTGGGATCCTTATCTTCCTACCTATGAGACTTTTGATAAATTTCCTTGCCTCTGAGATGCAGTGTTCTTATCTGCCAAAAAAGATGATTGAACATAATTAGAGGACAGAGTAGTATATGTATTGGAAAGTTGATCTTACTTGCCTAAGCCTCCCAAAGGTGATACAAAATACCACACATCCCTCCCTGCTCTGGGATCTTCTGCCCTCTGGGCCTCCCCTAGTAGACCTGCCTCTCTGATGAATGTACACTCCTAGGGCACCTGTGTACTCTGAAAATCCTTGCCTCTCACCGTTTGCTCCTTCACCACCATCCCCTTAGCTAGAAAGACAAGTACGAGAGATAACTCAATTAGCGTATGTTAAGCAGCTTCCAGAAAGTCATGAGACTTTCACAAGTTTCCCATAAGAAGGGAAACTGTCCAGTGGCCTGTTACTCTAGGTTCCACCTGGTTTCATTTTTCTCAGGCTTAGGTCTGCACAGAGTCCAGGTGAGAGACTCCACCTGGAGCTGTTTTTGAGGAAATCACCAATCAGGCCAAAAAGAAATGGCCTGGTCTTCAGAATGAGATCTGGGTGTAGTTCTTACCACAGACATTTAATGAAAGTCCTTGAGTAGCTTTTTGCATCTCTGATCCTCTATGTTATTATCTACAAAAAGAAAATAATGCTACCTTTGCTTTGTTTGGAGGATTAAAGGAGGCATTTATGCAAAACCCTTAACAGAAGATGTGAATTAGATAACATGAAAACATATCCACGTGTTGCTATTTCAGTCAGTGCTCTAGCAAACGATTCTCACTGAGCCAGGTATTGGCAACTGTTCTAGGGAATTACACACCCTCTCTGGAAAGGCTTCCCTACCCAAAACAGAGTATTCAGTCTCTCTGGGCTACCTCTAATACTTCTCTTTGCAATGATCCTAAAGGATTGTCATTTTTTTCTTAACATATTCATGTGGTCCGTTGAACTTTGAGTTCCTCAAAAGCCTTGGCAGAGAGCATATTTTGTGGAGCTTCGTAATCTCAGCACCTAGCACAGTGCCTGAACTATAGTTCCCATCAACAACTGTGGTAGTAACCCAACCTATGAGAGATAGCGGGATTTGAATCCTGACTTCATTACCAGCTATGTGACCTTGAGTGAGTCCTTTGCTCTGTTCCGTCTTTGGCCTTCTCAGCTATGTAATGATGATGTGAAAACCAAATTCACTGAGTTCCAAGTGTTTAACTAGATTAATAACAGTGATCACCCAGTGTGCATTAGCAATTAATAGACACTTACTAAATGTTTGTTGCACTGAACTAGTCACCAGGAGTGGTAACTTTTACTCCATATCTCTTGCATTGCGAGTCCATTGAGTACAGGAATCATATCATATTCATGTCCTGATTACAGTGAGCATCGGCACAGAGTAGCTGCTCAAGTGGTAAGTGAATGAATAAAAATAAATGGACAAATGAGTAATTGTGTGAGGAATGAATGAACAAATGAATGCCTATAGACTCAAAGCTAATCTATTGTCTATTAAGTTCTTTTACCATCTGGGGCCAGACACTGTGTCAAACTAAGACAGTGTTTGCTCTCAAAGAAGCCCTCTTGCCTGGCCCTTCTTCCACTTTGTGTTTAACCATTCTTGCCCTTTTCCACCTGCAGCCTCCCTAAATATGTGTTGTTTTTTCTTCGTAGCTTGGATCACCAAGCAAAAGGTGGCCTTCTAAACACAAACCCACACATTCACACACCTGCGTTCACTCCCCTCCTACGCCAGGAACTAAGCATCAGGCAAACAAAACATCTTGCTCCCTTGTCAGGGTTATTTTTGATTTTTGGTTTTTTCATCCTTTCTAGGGTTGGATTTTTCCTTCTGGGGCCCTGTGGAAAATGTTTAAAGTCATTAAAACTCTTTAATTTTCCTGAAGAGAGGCCTGTAACTGATAAAATAGTAGGGACACAATCTGATAGAATTAAGAATCCGTATAGTCCTTCTACCCCAAAACCCCTGTAACAATTTGCATGTCACAGAAGGTTGGAGAAAGGATTTGGGCCCAATGAATTTGCCAGACTCTTGTCTGAAAACCACCATAACTT